TCAAAGAAGTATTTTTTTTTAAATTAGTGTATTTTTTTTAGAAAAATTGCCAAAAATATAACCAAAAAAAAAAAAACATAACTTAATAACTAACCAAAATCTATCTAAAAAAGAAACAAGCAAAGAAAATGGGCCTGGCCCATCGTGGTATTAGAAGCCTGCTACATATTTGAGGAAAAGATAAAAATGGTAATGAAACTCCTCGAGGAAAGTAAAAAAAATTTTGTTGACTAATTTTGAGTCAATTAGAAATCATCATGTGCTAACAGTAAGAGTGTTTAGTGCGGACAGGAAGAGAATCGCGATTCCACCACAAAACCCAAAAGTTCGAAATTCCTTTTTTCTGCTACTCTTCTCTTTATCTTTCTCAACAAAAGGACTTCCTTTTTCTCCGATTTAGTCTTCGCGTCATGCATTCCGCGTTGGAGCCTGAGAGAAACGAGGAAGATGAACCACGTGGAGGAGGAAGCAATTCTCTTAAGAGGAAATTCTCTGAAATCGATGGAGATCAGCCTCCTGATGGGTGGGTATCTTCTATCTTCATCTCCTTGTACTTGATTTTGGGATTTTAGGCTAAAGCTACTCTTTTTCTCCTATGTTTGCAGCAGTTATGAGTCGAAGGTCTACGAGGTTGCAAAGAAGAGGAACACAATTGCTCTTCTGGGGACAGGAACTGATAAGTCAGGGATAACCAACATGCTTATCAAAGCCATGTCCTCTTCTGATTCCGTCAAAAGATTGATAATTGTCTTGGCTCCGACTGTAAATCTTGTCAAACAGGCATGTCTTCCATTCGATTCTGATTTGATGTATTTGAAAGAAGCAAAACTGTTTCTTTTGGAATTAATCACTTTGACTCGATGATATTGCCAAATTAATCACCATGGGTCCGGATGTTTTTTCTTCCTTGTGTATCGTTTTAGCAATGCTGTGAGATCAAAGCACAAGTGAATCTCAAGGTCCAAGAGTATTTTGGAGCTAAAGGAGTTGATAAATGGACATCCCACCGCTGGGAAGAGGAACTTAGCAACCACGATGTAAGTTTGTGTTTCTCTTTGGGTCTATTTTGCTACTTATACGCCAACAAGTGACTTCTTACTAGTTTTGGTGAAATATAGATATCACACTTTCTTTTTGTGGTTAATCGAGCTTTGACAGAAAATTGCAATCCACTTAGTCATGACTGGTCTTTGAGGTTGATTCTTTGTTTGTTTACCTGTTTACTCCATTCCGATTTGTTAGTACATTTGCTGCCTAGAGTTTTGGGGTTGGTTCTCTTCCATTGTTGCTTCTTTCATCGTTTAGTTTAAACTTGTTTGCTCGAGCCCTTTTCATAGATTCGCGCGATTACATTGATCTCACTAACAGCTATCACATACATTTTCTTCTGCTGCCGAATCTGTCTATTATCTGCAATGACATTGAATTTTGTCTGGTTCAGGTTCTGGTTATGATTCCTCAAATACTGTTGGATGCCCTCAGAAGTGGATTCCTGAAATTAGAGATGGTATCTCTTCTAGTAATAGATGAATGCAATCGCACCACTGGCTTTCATCCCTATGCGAAAATAATGAAGGTGTGTTTCCTCAGTAATGATAAGACCTATTCGTTTTCGTATGTCTTTTCCATAACCAGTGTCAATAAACTGTTTTCTTTCCGGTTTGCATGAAGGAGTTCTATCACAAATCTACTGACAAACCAAAGATATTTGGATTAACTACATCAGCCGTCGTTAGAAAAGGCATGCTATTTCTTTACGTAACTGTTTTGTTAATGTTTCAACTTCATGCAAGTAAAATAAACTATTTTCATATCGTCTGAGTTTTGTTGACCACCTCTGAGATGTTTCCTATGTCTTGAACTGTGCAGATCAAGTATCACAACTTGAGAACGTCATGGACTCACAGGTACATTGTTTTTGTGTAACTTTTACTTTGAAATCATTTTTTTTTTTTTTGAATTGACTTTGAAATCATATTAATGTTCACAAATTCATGTTCTGAAACTTTTACTTTGAAATCAGATTTTTAACCTTGAAGAGGAGCAAGGGGTGGAAAAGTTTGCTACAACAGTAAAAGAGGGTCCAATATTTTATGACCCACCACCTTTCTGTAGTTTGGAATTGAAAGAAAAGCTGGAAACTTCGCACCTCAAGGTATATATGCTCACTGAATATGAGCCAGAACATGCCTCTTTCCTAGTGTGTTTCCGCGGGCTTGAAAAAGGTTCTTTTTTTTTGTTCCACAGTTTGATGCTTCTCTTTTAAGGCTTCAAGAAGTGGAAAAAGGCAGTTTTTCCAACATCGATGATAAGCTTAAGACATCTCAAAAGCAAATGTCCATTGACTACAGCGAGATTTTGCATTGCCTTGATAATCTTGGGCTGATTTGCGCGCATTTGGTATTCTCCCTTCCCATTCTACCAGTCTTATTAGCGGTTAATCATTTATCTGCTCATTGTTAGTTTCTTTTCACCAGCACCACTTTTTGCGCTGATTATTTTTTTTGAATTTTTTATCTTGCCTTCATTAAAGGCGACTGAAGTCGGCTTGGAGAAAATCTCAGTTTTGAAAGAGGAAAGTGAAGCTTATAAAGAATGTTCAATGGTTTGCAAGGAATTCCTTGAGGATATCTTATTCATAATTGGGGAGTATTTGAAGCAAGGTACTGTATTCAAAGATCTGTTTTGCAATGGGCGGCCAACTTCTAGTCAATAATTTAATCTTCTTTCACTGTGCCTCATTTCTGTCACTTAACAGAAAATAAGAATTCAGTAGATTTGCAGCAAGACAATCTGTCAGCAGTGAAATTGGGACGTGTATCTCCAAAGTTACAAGAACTCTTCCGTCTATTGGATTCATTTAGGTAATTCAGATTTTTTCAACTCCCAAAGTTGCTACAAAATTTCCATCTGTTCTGACTTCTTTCATGTGCATACAGAGGTGAAAGACAAAAGCCATGCCTTATTTTAGTTGACAGAATTATCACGGGAGAAGTGATCAAAAGATATGTGAAGAAAGAAGCCTCTTTAGCTCACCTTAATGTCTTGTATCTAATCGGAAATAATGCCTCCACCCAGGCATTGGCACAGAAAACGCAAATTGAAATCCCTGATTCATTTCATGTTGGCAAGGTACCTGTTCTTTATCACAGTCTGACGATTGACAGATTCGGAAATCTTTTTTCTTTTTCGTCCCTGAAATCTTTTTATTTTTTCGTCGCTGAAAGTTTTTAACGAATGCAGGTGAATCTTTTATTTATCACTGATGTGGTTGAAGAGGGATATCAGGTACCAAATTGCTCATGCGTGGTATGTTTTGACCTGCCCAAAACAGTGTGTAGTTACTCGCAGTCTCAAGAACTGGCCAAACAGAGTAACTCTAAATCTATTATGTTTCTTGAAAGGTAGGAGACAATTTTGATTAATACAAAGTGTTAACTGTTAACCGAAATCCAGTGCTTTCTTTTATAGCTCAGTTTTTAATACTAATTATTGTAGGGGGAACCCGAAACAAAGAGACAATCTGTATGATCTTATGCGAACAGAAGTCCCAATGCGAGATCCAGAAACTCCAAACTTGAAATTGTGTCTACCTCCAGTGATAAATGGCCATGATGTGAAGGAAAATGCAGTCATGGTTATTCCAGATTCTAGCATCACTGTCATTGAGGAAGCAGCTGCCACTCAAACTATAATTGATCCTCCTAGTGCAAATGAGCAGTTAGCATGTAAGAAGTTACGTCAACTGGACGCATTGGATAACCAAATTTTACAATGCAGCGCCAAAAAGAAGGTTGCCTCTTCTAAAAGTAAACCATCTTCATCGGCTGCAGGTATGTTTTATATTTTAGTTCCTCAATATTGGAGGTGTTGTGATTGTGGTCTGTTGATTTGCACACACCAGCAGTTGAATATCATATGTGTATGTCTAAAGTCATGGAGCTTTTCTTAACTTTTATGTATGTATGTATCTTTTGTACTTTGGACAGGTTCAAAAAAACGTAAGGAGTTGCACGGGACAGCCCGTGCAAATGCATTGTCAGGAACCTGGGGAGAAAATCTTGATGGTGCCATCTTTCAGGCTTATAAGTTTGACTTCTGTTGTGATATTTCTGAGGAGGCGTACTCGAGTTTCTCTCTTTTGATTGAGTCAACCCTTGCCGAGGATGTGTGTAATGTCGAGATGGACCTTTACTTGGTCAGGAAGTTAGTTAAGGCTTCCATCTCTCCTTGTGGCCAGATACGCTTGAGTCACGAAGAGGTACCTATCACACTCTGATCCGTGGAATTTATACAGTTTCTTATTCGTGTCTTGGGAAATCTTGCAGATGAACAAAGCAAAGTGTTTTCAGCAGTTTTTCTTTAATGGCATGTTTGGAAAGTTGTTTGTTGCATCTAAGTCACTGGGAACAAAGAGAGAATTTTTGCTTCAAACTGACACAAGTTCTCTTTGGCATCCTTCCTTTATGTTTCTACTCCTACCAATTGAATCAAATATTCTAGTTTCAAGTGTGACGATTGATTGGTCGGCTATCAACTTCTGTGCCTCGGTAGTTGAGTTCTTGAAGAAAAATGCTCTCCTTGAATTTCGGGTTAGTGATGGAAATCATTGCAACACCTCACTCGGTCAGGAGGTTTTACTCAAGGATGAAAAAGATGATATGAATCTGATTCATTTTGCCAACGGTTCATCGGATAAAAATAGTCTGGAAGAAGTTGTGGTCGTTGCAATTCATACCGGAAAAATATACTCTATAGTTGATGTTGTAAAAGATTCTTCTGCTATGAGCCCGTTTGCAGATGATGCCTCATCAGAATATGCTAGCTATGCAGAATATTTTAATAAAAAGTAAGTGATGATATCTATGGATGTTCTCTCAATTTACTTTGGTAACTTATGATAACTCTTTAGTTAATGTCATTCCCTTTAATCAGGTATGGGATTGTACTGGCGCACGTGCACCAGCCGTTGTTGAAGTTGAAGCAGAGTCACCATGCGCACAACCTTTTAGTCAACTTCAATGAAGACAGTAAGTTGATTTCTGAGAATATCTCTAACACATGGATACATTGTGTATGGTCTGAGGATATTGTAGTGGACAAGCTCTAAGATATTTTCTCCAATGTAAATGAACAGTGCTTGTGAAGACGGAATCAGTAGATGGTAATGTTAGAAAAAGAAAACCAAATATCTATGCGCATTTGCCTCCGGAGCTTTTGGTCAGAATTGATGTGCCGCGTGCTGTGCTAAAATCAATCTACTTGCTGCCCTCAGTGATGCACCGCCTAGAGTCTCTAATGTTGGCCAGCCAGCTTAGGGAAGATATTGATTGCAACATTGATAACTTCAGTATATCGAGTACATCAGTATGGTTTTTTACAATATCTTTCATTTTATTTTAACACACTATCCATCATTTAGAGGTGAGACTATATATCCCAATTCTCAACTAACTCTTGTATTGGTTCAATGAATCAGATTCTTGAAGCACTTACAGCACTGACATGCTCTGAAGCGTTTTCCATGGAGCGGTTGGAACTGCTTGGAGATTCAGTCTTAAAATATGTTGTGAGCTGTTATCTATTCCTTAAGTATCCTGACAAAGACGAGGGACAACTTACGCGGCAGAGGCAATCGATTATATCTAATTCAAATCTTCACCACTTGGCAACAGATCGCAAACTACAGGTATCTTCTAATATATGTAAGTAATGTATTATATCTGTCATAAAACTAAAGAAATAAATTGGGATTTTGGTTTTATAGGGATACATAAGAAACGGTGCTTTTGAACCGCGTCGGTGGACCGCACCTGGTCAATTTTCTCTCTTTCCCATTCCTTGCAAGTGTGGGATTGATACTAGAGAAGTACCATTGGACCCAAAATTCTTCACAGAGAACATGACTAAAAAAATTGGAAAGTCTTGCGACATGGGTCATAGATGGACGGTTTCAAAATCTGTATCAGATTGCGCAGAGGCCTTGATTGGTGCCTATTATGTTAGCGGTCGATTGCCTGCGGCTCTTCATATGATGAAATGGCTTGGTGTTAACATCGAGTTTGACACAAAATTAGTCACTGAAGCCATCAATAGAGTTTCTCTACGGTGTTACATCCCTAAAGACAATGAGCTCGCGGAGTTGGAGACAAAGATCCGACATGAATTCTCTGCGAAGTTCCTTTTAAAAGAGGCTATCACACACTCTTCTGTTCATGAATCATATTCGTATGAGGTATAGCTTCATTGTTTTAGCCCTGCATTATTTGTCACAATTCTTCCCGTTTTGTCTAATCTCATTCTATTGGCTTGTTTCTCAAACAGAGATTGGAGTTTCTTGGTGATTCTGTACTGGATTTTCTAATCACCCGTCATCTTTTTAGCACCTACGAACAGACAGGGCCAGGAGAGATGACTGATCTTCGTTCTGCATGTGTAAATAACGAAAATTTTGCACAAGTTGCAGTGAAAAATAATCTGCATACCTACCTTCAACGCTGTGCTGCAGCTCTTGAGACTCAAATAAATGAGTATTTGATGTCTTTTGGAAGGCCAGATGAAACTGGTAGATCAATCCCTTCAATACAGGGCCCTAAGGTAACAACGTACTTGCATGACCATTTAAAAATTCCTGCTCGAGATTTACGATTAGGCCCTTTATGATTACAGAGAGAGCAAACAGGTTCACATAATTGTCCGTTTTGGTTTAGGCTCTTGGAGACGTGGTGGAGAGTATCGCTGGAGCATTGCTGATTGATACAAGGTTAGATCTTGATCAGGTGTGGAGAGTCTTTGAGCCATTGCTTTCTCCACTTGTAACTCCGGATAAACTTCAGCTTCCTCCATTCCGGGAGCTCAATGAGCTATGCGACTCTCTTGGGTATTTCTCCCGGGTGAAATGCACAAATGATGGTGTGAAGGCACAAGCCACGATCCAGTTGCAGCTGGACGATGTTCTTCTGACCGGAGATGGATCTGAACAGACAAATAAACTGGCATTGGGAAAAGCAGCTTCACATTTGCTTAAGCAGCTTGAGGTATATGTCCTGACGTTTTCACT